TCATTTGCTAGGCAGCTGGGTTGGTGCTAGAATTCTGACTCAGGGGCCAAAATGGAACTATGACAAGTGGTATTAGAATATAGTCTTCTTATATGTAGTCTCTCTCTCTCTCTCTCTCTCTCTCTCTCTCTCTCCATCATCCATGTATCTGTTTATTTTTCTACTTATGAATCATCTATCACTGACATACCTATCACCTACCTATTTCCTATGATATATCTCTCATGTATCAATACCTCATTTACCAGTAACCTATCATCTGTCCATCACTTGCCATCTCTCTGCTCGTAAGACTTCTTAGACTTGATAGTGGATGCATTTGTAGTTGAATAGAAGATACCCACCGAGTCAGAGATTGTGACCCAAGTTGATGTTAATGTCGGTTGAATTTTCAACACATACAACTTTAAATTTTTTGAGGTACTGGAGTTGAACCTAACTAGAGCCATAAACAGCTAGGTGAGTGCTTTACCTCTGAGCTGTCTCCCCAGCCCCATATACCATCTTTTAAACTCAACTGTACACATTTCAGTTGTGTCTTTTCATTGCTTGTATGCCCAAATGTCATGATATCCTGGATGCTTTCTTATCTCCCTCTCTCCTTTTTTTTTTTTTTTTTTGTCTTGAGACAGTGTCATGAAGCCCAGGTTAGCCTAGAACTCTATATGTAGCCTTGAAATTCTGATCTTTCTGCCTCTGTTTCCTATGTTCTGAGATTAAAGGTGTACACTCTCATACCCAGCTTTAGCTTGACTTTTGTATCATGAACAGAAAGATAATTAAAGCATTAAAGAAAATTCATTTAATTATAAAATGTTCACTTGTGTTCAAACCATTAAAATCATTGGACAGTACATTGAAAATTAATAGTTAATTTTAAACACAAATTAATGTTAAAACCATAGACTCATTTAGAATTACTGCCATTGAGTTAAAACAGTGTCCCTATTGTATATAATTTTAAAACACTAGATAAATTTTAAGTAGTTTCACTGAAAGTAAATGATAATTGTTTGGGAGTATAAATATGTTTACTATATGTGAACATGAAACAATGTATAGCACATACCAAAGCAGCTACAGTGTTTTTTTAATCAGTTACAATTTTAAGAGTTGATCCTCAAATTCAAGTGATAACAGTTATAACCAGGTTTACCAGTCATTTTAGTTTAATTAATTAACCAATTAATTAATTTTGTTTTGGTATTTGAAGACAGGGTTTCTCTGTGTTGATAGACTTCACTGTCCTGGAATTCTCTCTTTATAGATAAGACTGGCCTTGAACTCACAGAAATCCACCAGTCTCTACCTCTTGAGTTCTGGGATTAAAGGTGTGTGCCACCACTGCCTGGCCAGTCATTTTAATTTTAGATAGAATCAAATGTCTAAAGCCTTAACAATAGTTTGGGGGCTCATTGGAAAGCATGTTTTCACCTTCTTTCTACTTCCAAGTCTTGCTCCTAGTGGTTTAGTTCAGGTCATCAGTGGGGCCACGGTACCCAAAGAAACCCTTATATAGAATTTCCATAGAACTGCTTCCCTGGGCATTTGGGTACATTGCCCATTTTATGTATGATTTAGGTGAAAGAATGGAGTTTACTTCACAGATATGAAATGATGCAGAGTTGGCTATCAGTGGGAGGTGCTCCTTGCAAGTACCCAAGCTACTGACTGCTGAGAGGCCCCTCCTGCCTACATTCTAGGACAATGGCCATGCTTCATCTTCATGTATATAAGGATGGAAGCAGAAGAAGTGGAGTGCATTCCGGGCATTCTGTGTAGAGAATCGAGCAAAACTATCTACTTTGGGCTAGATGGGGTTTGGGTCAAGGTTTCTCTACTTCCTGGCTTTGGGACCTCAGATGTTTTACTCAACTCTCCCACAACTGTTGCAGCATCACTGAAGTGGGAATGATGCCATCTTCTTGGGTTTGGGGAAAAAATAAACTTAGTGGTACTTCTTATGTACCTGGCTCAATGCAGGTGCTTGATGAGTGTTAGTTTCCTTCCTTTTATTTGATAAACACTTCCTTTGAGGGTTACCTGCAAAAACATTAAATATTCATTAATTTCATTATTCAAGAAAAGTAAAACTTGAAAAGGCATCTTACTTCAGATGTTTTGATGTAACAATAATCACTCCCATTTGTCTTTCTTGCAAATCTGCATTCTATCTGCGGTGCTGGGTTTATTTATGATGTTTGTGTGCAATTCTCAGCACTGTGAGAGTTGACTGAACCTAAGCGCTCTTTCAAGTTCTGTGGAAGATGTAAATTATTAGGTATTGGTGGTGTGATTTGAGACCCTAGTGATTGAGGCTTGGAACTGTCCTGGAGGTATAATTCGTGAGTGGAACCATCAGAGGTGGATAGATAATGAGGATGGATATGAACTTTGGTTAAGATGGTCTGACCTGGTTGGACAGCTCTCACTCAACACAGTGAAAGTGAGGTTTTGGCACTGGCAAGAACTACCCACCTGTGTCCATCAAAAGCATAGTAGAGGCTGGGGAGATGGCTTAGTTGGCAGAGAGCCTGCTATACAAGTATGAGGATCACAGCCTCCACATAACAGCCAGGTGGGATGGCATGCATTTGGAATGTCTATGTTGATGGGGAGATCCCTGAGCTTGATGGCCAGCAGTCTAGACAGTTGGTGAGCTTCATGCCCAGTGAGCGATCTTGTTTCAAGAAAAGCTGGTGAGTGATAGAGGGTGATACCCAATGGTGACCTCTGGCCTACACACACACACACACACACACACACACACACACACACACACACAATACATCCACATGTACATGTACCAGTGCACAGTAGATCAGAATGCAGTGCTGGGTTAGTAAGTAATCCTGTTACTTGAAGGATACTTCTCAAACCATTGGCAAGAACATCTGTGCACATCCCATGCAGCTGCTGTTAAATTCTGAGGTGCTGGCATTTATGTTAGAAACAATAGCTAGCTTTACTCTTCATACTACTTCATATTCCTAGAGGCAAGGAGGATTAGGCTAAAGACTTAAACAGAGAATGTCTTTACCCCGTCACCTAGTCAGTCTTATTTGCATGCAAAATCTATTCTACGGCTTGTTTTCATACCACCTCTGAAGTAGGAAAGATATTTTTGCATATTTAAGCAGTTACTTATAAGAGAACAGAAAGAAAAAAAATAAGCAACAGAAACTCTATGTAACCTGCCAAGGCTAAATAAAATATTCAATGTGTGGCAGTTTATAGAACAGGTCACTTATCCCTGTCCTAGAAAGCTTGAGTGATCTTATTAAGCATTCATTACTGAAGAGCATAGGGACTTTCCAGATGTCCTCTGATTTGTGGCAATGACTATGTGCCTGTTTGAGACAAGCTTAACGGGCACTGTTGAGGACAAATAGAACCGTGGCTCATCATTTGTGCCTTGCCCTCCTGGGTAATTCCAATGTTGCCCAGGATATGGAGTCTCAATCTTTCTAAGTAGCTCATGTTTCTGTCACCTCCTCCTTGAAGCTCCCAGGTAGGAGGCTTATCATTACAGCCCACAGTTGTGGACTGCAGGTGCCTGAGACACATGACGGCAACTCTTTCTGCACCCCACCTGAAGCAGGATGGCAGGGCCAGTTCAGGAAGGGCCCCTGAGAGGGCTTATCTTCCTCTGCTCCTGCTGAAGCTGGGGACGAATTTTAGGGTTATGTGAAATTGGTGCACAAACATAAGGTGGGAAGGGGCAATTGTGGAACTCTAATGCATAGATTGAGGCTTTGGGGGGAAAGGGGACCTGAATTACTCTCTGGATAATGGGCATAGTTTGTGGGAGAGTGGAATCAAAAACACGAGGGGATGGGAGAGCATCCCTTGGACTGGGGACATTTCCATTGCCAGGAGATGAGTCTGGATCACCATTGTGGAGAATGTAGCAGCCATATTGACCTATGGAATTCCAGTGGTCACTGAGGAGTCATTCAGGCTGATTAAAAAAAGAGGGCAGGATTCCTGGGGTAATGGCGGGGGGGGGGGTCCCTGCCATTCCTGATTATCTGAGTTCCCCCAGCAGAAGCAGCATGCTGGAAGGAGAGACCCGGCTCTCCCAAGCTGTCTCTGGGCTCCACATGTGCACTGTGGTGCCTGCACATCCCTCCCCCAAATAAAATGTCAACAGTGTAATAAAAAAGTAGTAGTTGTGTGTGAGGGTGAGCATGTGCAATGATACTTATGAAACTGAAGTTACAGCCATGTTCTGCATAACAGTTCAGTCAAAAATGGGCCACCCACATGATGGGGGGCTCAGTAAACTTGTTGATATCACAGTGATTTTTGTTTGTGTTGGCCCACTTTATGATGTTTATATATTGGACAACTGTGTCCCTGAATCACAGGGCTGTCTTTGGTAAATCCTAACAAAGACAGGCATGGGCTAAGACTATTAAAGGAACTACCTCATTAAATCCTCATAGCTGTGCAAGGGATGGTCTCACCTGCAATTTGCAAATAAGTTAATTAGGCATAGAGAGGTTGAGATAAAGTACCTAGGATTCTGGTGTTCACAGGCAGAACCATGCCGGTCTGACCTGAGTTTTAAACTCCTTTGATACTGGAAGAAATTCAGTGCAAAGCATTTTGACAATATAGAAAGAAGATGAGTGAAAAAGAAACCTATAACTTGCCTTTCCAGAAACGACCACTTTGAGTGAAATCCTGCTAGACATCTATACATACCCACAGCAGTATGTGTGCGTTTTGGGTAATTGAAGTCACGCACACCTCTGAGTTTCGTATAAATTTATATAAAGTTTTATATAATTATTAGAAATTTTAGATTTTTCTCCCATTTGAAAGTCATCTTCGGAGTTTCACGGGTGTATGGTATTCCACTTGATGGGTGTACTTCATTCTGCTTCACCGGTGGTGTCTAGATCCTTGCAGGTTCTTGAGCAGAGCAGCACTTAATCTGAAGCTTAAGAAAAATTCCTTCTAACCTATTCTTATGCTTTTCCCTCTCTTTGCAGCATGCCCTCGATGCTGACAACGCAGGAGTCAGCCCAGTGGGAAACTCTTCCAATAGCAGCAGTCACTGGGACCTTGGAAGTGCCTTTTTCTTTGCTGGAACTGTCATCACCACCATAGGTATCTGTCCATTTACTAACATTTATTTTTCCTCTGCAGGTCCATCTAAGGAATGGTTAGACAGAATTTGTCATCTTAAGATGTGAGACAAGGTTTTCCCAACTTGGTCAAGTGATCACAGCTGTTGTGGCTGCTTTCTGTCAACACCAAAGCATGGTGGAGATTTGAGAATGAAAAATATTTCAGCTGCAGGAACCTATTGTCAAGCAAGATTAGAATGCATGGACAGGCCAATGGAACTCAGATTGTTCTGTTGTGTTCAGATTCCATTTTAAAGGTTGTTCTTCTTGGTAGGATTATATATAGTGGTATTAAAGTGTACTACAAAGTTGGGTATGGGGGAAAAACATCCCTTTCCTCCTTTTCAGTTTTTTATTGTTCCAGAGAAAATAGCTTCCATATCTTCGTCTGATGGTTTCAGGACCCGCCTCTGTGGTTTTAAAAATCAAACTTGTATTGCTACTTCCAGAATTTTCAGTTTTGGGGATTGTTTTTCAACTTCCCACTATGCAAGAAGCGTTGGTCTCTTCCTTCCCATTCCACTTGCAGGGGGCTCCACTTCCTTTGTTTCTGTCTCCCTAAGATAGTTTAATTACATAAACCCTGGGTATTTGTTTGAAGCTGACTTTTGCACATGCTCCTCATACAAACCATCACTACTGCTTTCCTGGGTCAGAGTCAGGCTTATTTTATGCATTTATTTTTTTATATTTTCTGATACTCAGGTACTGTGGGGTTTTTTTGTCTTAGGGATTTCTTGATAATTATAATAGTATGTAAAAACTTTGATATTCTAGTCCTTAGCTCATATGCACAGATGTTGATTATGAGGGATGAGATTTTCCTTTCCCATCTTTCTCCACCACGCAATTTTACCTGACACCATCTCTTCAATGTTTGCCTTAAAATGATAAGTATGGCTCCTACTGTGTGATTTGTCAGCTTTAGGTGATAACTGTGAACTCTTACCTAGTCCGAGTAGTAAGTCAGTAAGCTTGTCCAGCATCTCAGTTTCCTTTTGCAACATGTTCCAAGCATCACCCATTCTGCATAAGAGATAAGAGTATGCAATTTACATTCTGTTCCCTCACCCCCATCTTCACACTTGCTCTATGTCAAACCCGTGTCAGTGATGGTGTATCTCCTCCTTTTATTAATCATTAGATGGCATTAGTTCCCTATCCTCACTTGTTTGGCTAGAAATCACCTTTAGAAGTTAAGAGTGGCTCTTGGAGAATCTGGAGGTGAGGGTGCACATCTGTGATTCTGGAACACAGAGATGGTGACAGGGGGAGACTATGAGATGGCTTTAACCTTCTGGGAGGAATTTCTACTCTGATTCTCTCTGAGGCCCAGCTACACCTTTTGAAAACCCTTAACTTTGGTTTATAGTGTGGGCAGTCAATTTTTTTTATTGGTGCCTGTTTTAGAGGCTAAGGGTTGTTCTAGAGGCATACAGTTTTGTCATTTATGCTTTCATATCTAATCATAAGGTCTATGTTCTTGTACACTAGTGGAATCAAGAAAGTTTTATGTGACACAAGCATTGAGAATGAAAGAGAATTGTCATTCTTACTGAGACTTGTATCAGTCGAGGTCTTCAGGGAAGCAGAAATGAGAGGGTAGGTGCGTAGACACGGGCCAGTGGAATTGGCTTCTGCAACCATGAGCCCAAGACTGGTCCAATTGGCAGGCTACTTGTAATGGAAGCCATGGAGTGCTTTTGGATGGTTTGGTCTGAGTTCAAAGGTTTCATATCCAGGGATGTTGATGGTATAACTCCCAGACTGAGGCCAAAGTGCTGAAAATCCACAAGGCCAGTGGAATAAATCCAGTGACTACAGGCCAGAGGGGTTGGAGCTCTGACATTGAAGGGTAGGAGAAGCAAAATGTATCTGAGCTGTCTATGAGTATATGGGAGAGGAGACAGCAGAGAGAGAGAGAGAGAGAGAGAGAGAGAGAGAGAGAGAGAGAGATGTCTTTTCTATGCCTTCCCCTTTTTGTTCTATACAAGCTCTCAGCCAATGATCCTACCCACACTGAGGATTGATCTTCCACACTTAGTCTATCAACTTACAGCGCAACGCCCTGTGGAAACATCTGGATATATATATATATTTTTTTTTACAGACACATCCAGTAATAACGCTTTACCAGTTTTCTAGGTATTCATAACCCAGTCAAGTAAACACCTAAAATTAACCACCAACTCTCTTAATTTAACTAGATGACAAGCTATTTTATATTTACAGTGCTTAAATTCATTAACATCACTTATTGGTCAGTGTTGCAAGTGTCCATTGTACATGTGGGTCTGCACCTAGAAGCCTCTGAGACCTTTGGATCAGGTTAGGCCATTGGAATTCACAGACTCACTACACCCAATGGAGAAAAGCATGTAACCTGGACCCTCATGTGCTATGAACCTCAGCCAACTCAAGAACATTGCAGTCATCCATCAGATAAGAATGACATCATGTTAGTATATGTTTGACAGTCGGTTATTAGAATGAAGAAAGGCATCATGCATTTTAAAAAGATTTGTAAAATAATTAAAGTTGAGAAAGTCTTGACCATTTCAAAAGGCGTACTTTGGAAAATACATTTTTTTTTTTTTTTTGGTTCTTCGAGACAGGGTTTCTCTGTGTAGCTTTGGAGGCTATCCTAGCACTCACTCTGGAGATCAGGCTGGCCCCAAACTCACAGAGATCTGCCTGCCTCTGCCTCCCGAGTGCTGGGATTAAAGGCATGCACCACCAACGCCCGGCTGGAAAATACTCTTAAGTGCTAGTATTGTATCCATGAACTATTAGGGTATATCACATATAATAGATTGAAAAAGCCTATTCATTTCCTCATTGTATGAAATTACTAAATTGGGGCTTTGTTTGATTCATTAAAAGGGCAGTATCTATGCTGGCCTCTGAAGTATTGGTAGGATTTTCAGTAAAGTACTAATGGTATTTATTGACACTTACTTGTTTCCAGTCACCCGTCATTCAGACATTTTTTTTTTAAGTTCATCTTTGACTTAACAACAATATATCTAATCTCCCTTTTCAACTCATGACCCCCACTTTCCCACTCATGAACCCTTGCTCTGGAGAAGAATGACATTCAGTCTATGGCCAGAGTTATTAGTTCAAAGATGGCCGACAAGAATTTCTTGGGATTTGCTTGAACTTTGGAGGGAATGTCTTCCTCAATTTCTTACTGGTGGTAAACCTGGGAAAGGAAGAGCCAAGATCCTGAATTGCCTCTTGTTATATTCCCTTGGTAGGTTGCTCTGTCTAGAGTTGAGCTAACATTATTGGAGTAAGAAAAGGGCTAGAGGTAAGTAGATCCTGGTCATGTCCTGTGAACTCTGAATGGAGCTATTTGAAAAATACTAAGAAACATTAAATTTCTTATTTTTCCAGAGTCAGTGAGATTTCTCATTGTTTAGGCTTAAAGTAGTCTGCATTGGATTTTCTATAATCTAAACATTCCCAACCAATGTGCATGGACAAAATAGAGTTCCTAGAGGGATCAGAAGTATCCTTTGACCCCACAACCAGTGCCTGAGTCCTCTGGCCACTGTAACTGCCATCTTTGGGCCACATGAGTTTGATTCAAGTCTTAGGCAGAGCTGACCTGTTGGATGAGCCTCTGGGTTCATGTGTCCTAGTCTTGGTTATTTGAGAGGCTGTTCTCTCTGCAGAAAGACTGGCCACTGTGTCTGACCAATTGTGTATAGGCTCAGTACCTTTATTCCAAATCATAAAGATTGTCTACCAACAGGCAACCACTATAAAGCAAATATGCAAACAAAAACAAACAAAAATTTAACCTGCCACTCAAAGTCTACAGTGGGCTGGGTTCTCGTTCTATGCAACTTAGAAAAGGTTACTTTTCCCTCTCTTTCTCTTAACTAAGACATAATGAATTATAAGTTGAGTACTATTTAGCTGAGTAAATTTAATTCCAGAGTAGATGGTTTTATAAAGCCATATAGCTAGAGAAGTTAAAAAAAAAAAGCAGCTTGATACAATGTAAGAAGGAATGAGGTGAGAAAACAAATTGCCAAATTTAAAAAAACCAAGTACTTACATGATAAGTTAATTCCAAGGCTCACAAAGAGGCTTGCAAGTAATCTCAGGGATGGCCATTCGTCAGCTGTCTCTAAGAAGTTGCCCACTCTCCAGGAGTCAGGGAAGTGGCACAGTTATCCCAGGAAGCTTTATCTCATTAACTGTGCAGTTCATATCCTGAACTGCTTGCTCCAGGTCATATAGTTTCCAGGCTACTATTGTTCACATTTCCCTTATTAGCAATGTTGGAGCTTCGGAGTTCTTTGCCAAGCCCTTCTTTGATGGCCCCCTGGGGCTCACTGTCCATACTGTAGTCACTTGTTGTGGAAGGATTAAGAAGTTTCTACATTTGTGACCCTCTTACCACCACAGTGAAAACCTTTATTCAGGAAGTTGGTTGTTTCCTTGGAAAAGGCCCAAAGAAGTTGCTCTGTCAAAGGGCACAGAGCACTTCAGGGCTTGCCAAATCATCTTCCAGAAAGACTCTTATGAGCAGCTCGGAGTTACGTGTGTAGGAGTGGTCAATGCACATTTTAAAAGAGCCTTTTGTGTGCTGATATATCTAGAGATTATGCTTGTACCAGTAGCCCTCTGTATCTGTGTTTTCATATCATAGAGTCAACCAATTATGGATTGAAAATATTCAGATCAAAAAGATGTATGCACACTGGACTCCTTTTGCATTTCATCATCCCCTAAACAATACAATCTAGCAGCAATTTACATGACATTTGCATTGCATTAGGCATTGTAAGTAGTTTAGATTATATGGAGGGAAGTGTTTAGGTTTATATGCAAATTTGGTGTTTATATAAGAGGATGGAATATCCATGAACTCTGTTGTCTGCAGGGGTTCCTGAAACTAGTCTCTTGTGGGCATCTGGGAACAGGGATGCAGCAAAGTAAACACATTTAGGAACCTTTCCAAACCAGTAGCCAGACCAGAAGGAAGAATGGTTTGGATCAAGGGTGCCTTGCACCTGTTTATTTCTTCATATCTAATTCTGATAGAAGTCCTCCTTGCCTTTGATTACTGCCTCTGCTGGTAGAAACATATCAACTAGCTTTTGTAAGCTGGAGGGTTGATGTTCATTCCTGTATGTAGATGCTTTTCCACAAAACATCATTTCCAGAAAGGCAGGAAGTGAAATGTGTCTATGAAATGCAATTAGATTTTTGTCTTTGTGTCATTTTCAGGTTGAGTGACCTGGCTATACCTATAACAAAGAAAGCTTCCCTGTCAAGTCTCAGGAGATAGCTGGTGACTGTGCTACTTCCCATCAACGAAGGGTTGTACCAGCAAAACTACTGAAGTAGCTGCTTGAACTTAATTAAATACTTTGATTGGGTGCTTAATCTGTGGCTATCAAAATAGCAACCATTGTACCTAACAGTCACTGACATGGGGTAGTGTTGTCCATACACATGATCTCACTCAAACCTGCACTAACCACATAGGATAGGGATTAGCCTCATTTGTCTATGAGGCTGGAAGGAGATTATTTCTTCATATCTAATTTAGGAGAAGCCCCCCCTAGCCTTTGATTACTGCCTTTGCTGGTAGATCCATAGGAACTAGGTTTGTAAGCTGGAGGGTTGATGTTTGCTCCTGTGTGTAGATACTTTTCCATAGATCATCATTTCCAGAAAGGCAGGGAATGATCACATTATTACTAATGTTAAGAATGAGGTCTGGGAAAGTTAAACAACTTACCTATTATGCGCAGTAAGTAAGCAGTGAAGTTTAGTGTTATCACTGAGTGTCATTTACTGGGACCAGCAGGGCTTGGTGCAAAATGGAAAACATGGTTTATTATTAATAAGTAATTAAGAATATCAACATGGCAGCATCAGAACATTTAACCAAGCACAGGACTGTGGAAGGTCCCTTCAGGTTTACAGCCAGCAGGGAAACGATAGGGTGAGGGAAGAATGAAACTCTGGTTCAGTCGGATTTAGATAACCGGTGCTAGGCCAAGACTTCAAGAGTCTGACACCGGATCATTTACTTTAGCCATATTTAAGCACAGAACAATTTTGGAAAAAGGTTTTCTGATAACAATTTGCTCAGTCCCAAGTACACAATAAATTTGAGACATGTTTACATTGCCATTCTTTACAAAGTACATCTGTTTTTTTTTTCCACAAAGATGGGTATGTTGATGAAGATATAGTGGCCAAGATTAAGGTCCAGGAAGAATAACTGAGGCAAACATAATGCCTGTGGTTGTCAGGATTGCCCTAGCCCTAAGATAACATAGAAGTCACTTAGTTGTAAAGTTTAAGTGACATCACTCATAATGATGAGTTTTACAGACTAGAACTAATGTTCAAGATTTAGGTTTGTGATAAGTAAAGCATAAATTGTGGGAGACAAGGTCAGAGCCTGGCTCATCAGACAGCAAAGGATCACCAGGTTGTAAATTACATCCATTCCCAGCATTCCAGGAGGAACAGCTAAGTTCCTCATTCCATTGAAGAGATAAACTATTTAACTTTTCCTGGCTTACCCAGTGCTTATCTTTGTGCACAAAGACTTATTTTTCCCGCTATGAAGGACCTTTTTGGGTGTGAGGTCTTGTTTGACTTACACAGTTCAGGCGTGCAACAGAGCGTCCCTGCTAGCACAGACAGGTTGGTTCTACAGTCACAGTGTGGGAAAGATTTGATTTTGGCACATAAGCATGTGGAAAGTTCTTTGTGTCTCAGGACTATGTTTTTAAACATTAGCTCTTTCTTTAAGGACTTTGAGATGCTTTCTATTTAAGGGTGATCAGAACCAAGACCCATCTGGTTCTCTGCTGTAACAACCTTGCTGTTTCTCAGTGTTCTTGCTGGGCTGGCCATCCTTTACTTAGAGTCAGAAGCAGCTGGTTGGTAGGGGGACTTTTGGACTGCCTTTGCTTCCCCTACATCTCATTCTGATGTTCCAGTTTAGTTCTTATTGAACAGTTGCTCCTCTAGCAGATGAGCTATCGCCTCTATTTCTCAGCCTCTGTGGTGTTTGGCTGCCTAAGAATCATTATGTTTGCTACCCAGCCACCATGACCATGGATCCACTCAAGTCATTGAGATAATGCAGCTCAAGGTACACACACACACACACACACACACACACAGAGAGAGAGAGAGAGAGAGAGAGAGAGAGAGGACACACACAGAGACACATACAGAGAGAAAGACACACAGATACACAGACATACACACACAGACACACACAAACACACACACACACAGACACACAGACACACACAGACACACACACACACACACACACACTCACACACACACACAGAGATACACAGAGACACAGAGAGAGACAGACATACACATTCATACACAGAGATACACAAACACATGCTCACACAGAGACACAAACATTGTGTCAACTATATAATTCATTCATTCATCCATCCATACATACATATATACACAATGACATATTTGAATATTGCCTTATTAATACCCTTACTGGAGAACTTCAATTGTATTTATTGTGGTATTCTGACCTGTGAAATATTATCCTATTCTACTACTGCTACCAGCAAATACTCTTTTTGTTCTTGGATGTTTCTGATACCATAAGACTTGGAGAGATTCCACAGGTCTAGGGACAGTAGGTTATTTTGAGGTGGATACAAAATCTCCTCGCTTTTCACTGGTGCTTCTCTGGTGATGCCAGCACACTCGGTGAGCACACTGAAGGACATGTGTAGAGCTTGTCTGGATTAGTAAATGCATGTTCAGTAGGCTCAGTGCTTTAGCTTGCCCACATCTGCAATATCTTTCTGAGATGGACTAAAAGGAAACCTGTATTCCCCAAAATGAGTCTGTTTGTTAGACAGTCAAGCTAAAATTGTTAGTGTCTCTACAAGTTTCTACAATGTTTCCAAGGCACACCTTAAGCCCCTGTGATGTGAAGCTGCAGAGGCACACTCATTCTCTTTCTAATAGAATAAGTAAGTTAGTGAAGATTGGATTATTCTAGGTGAGTATGCTTGGCCAGATCATTTTGTTCAAGCTCCTGAAAGCGTTAGAGAAAAAGTCCCAGGAGCTTTGTTCCACATCTAAATCAACATGATAGTGAGCAAAAGGAAATAAGATTAGGAAGTCTTGCCTGCACAGTCATCTAAGAAATGGAAAGCACAATTTAAATAATTTGTGGTAAGAGGTTGGAATGATTCTGACAGAAAATTGTTAAGGAAAATAAAAGTGACTCATCCCCAAGGCAGAATGTAAGAGTGAGCTCTGCAGGCCCGTTGGAGCATGAATGATGGACAACCAAGAACATAGTTTTCTTTTTTGGCCATGTTGAGAACATTGATCTTTTCTGTGCTATACTCTCTAGTATGTTTCTTGCTACGGACCAATACTGTACCCATTGCAAGGATTCAGAAACAGGCCCCACTCAAACTGGGGAGTGTTAAGTGGCTGTTCTAAGAGTGTAATGCTAATTGACAAGAAAATGAATATCAATTACTTGAGGCTTTCATCCTATGTAAATTGTACTAATATTATAAGCCTCTTTCTTCCAGTAATACTATTGCCAGTCCCATTTGTATGGAATAATCCTGTCTTAGTTAGGGTTTCTGTTGCTGTGAAGAGACACCATGGCCATAGCAACTCCTATAAAGGAAGACATTTAATTTGGGCTGGCTTATAGTTTCAGAGGTTTAGTCCATTATCATCACAGTGAGAAGCATGGCAGGCATGCAGGCAGTCATGGTGCTGGAGGGGAGGATCTCAGAGCTGTACATCTGGATCCTCAAGTAGCAGGAAGAGACTTGCTACACTGAGCCCAGTTGGAGCATCTGAGACCTCAAAGCCTGTCCTCATTGACACACTTCCTCCAACAAGGTCATACCTACTCCAACAAGGCCACACCTCTTAATTGTGCCAGTCCCTACAGATATATGGGGGCCATTTTTTCAAACTACCATAAAGTCCAACACTCACTATACTTGAATTACTTACATAATTGCAAAACTCTTAAGAACGCAGATGTTCATATTTTCAAACAACTATACTATGTGCAACTCATTTTAATTGACCTGACTGTAGATAGACTCTTTTGTGTTCAAACATCTATTCTATCCACAAACACTTATTTAGCTTGCTCTGGGTGTAAGGGTAGTGGGTAGAGATGCAAGAGCCAGGGATTGTGTGCTATTTCTAGAAGAGAGAGTTGGGCACAGCTAGACATCATCGTCAATGCGGGAAAGAGACACAAAATCTTTGCTTACTCATTTCTCTCCATTATCAGGTTTCCCAGGTTAGGGAAGAACAAGCCCTTTATCCCCTGTGGGTTTGCAGTAGATGGTATTTCCTCTTTAATGTTCAGTGCCTATTACTCTATGAGAGCAGATGTTGAATGTAGTGAGTCCAGGCAAAGAGGATGCCTATGGAACAGCACTGTAAGATGAGGCTTTTGTCTACATTTTGTCTACAGAAGCAAAGGTGAAACTTTTGATAAAACACATTCAGTCCTGTCCATGATGTGTGATACTTCATAAGAGAAAAGTATCAATTTTGCATCAGAAATGCAATTCAGGCTGACCACACGTTTCTTAAGTGTATTAAGTTCTCAGAAACCTGGAGACTATTTATGGGGAGAGAAGCAAGTTTTGAATTGTAAAGGGTTTTGGAGAATATGAACTCTGAGGAATCTTTGGTCAATGCTCTACTTTCTCTGCCACCTCACTGCGTTCCCTCTTTTTCTCTCTGCTCTTTCTCCTCAGGGTATGGGAATATTGCTCCAAGCACTGAAGGAGGCAAAATCTTTTGTATTTTATATGCCATCTTTGGGATCCCACTCTTTGGTTTCTTATTGGCTGGAATTGGAGACCAACTTGGAACCATCTTTGGCAAAAGCATTGCAAGAGTGGAAAAGGTTTTTCGAGTGAGTACTGCACCAATTTAAATCCCCATTACCGGATCCATTGGCTTTGGCCTAATAGGGTTTAGAAGCATCAGCAAAGGCTCTGACTGAATGGAATAGTTGAATACTATAATTGTGTTTTATCTCTTGGCCAATGACAGACATAGGATGGCGTCTAAATGTTTTTTCCTTGAATAACTTCCTGCCGTTGGTGGTACTTACAGGATCAAAGAAGGTTAAGTATGGATTACCAACACATTTCCCTAAGAGGTCTGGCACACTCAATGTCTGAGTCTGTTTAAGCTGCTATAATGAAAGGCCTGAGGCAGGAAGGAATAGAAACAACAGAAACTTATTTCCTACAGGTTGAAGTCTGGATGTATAGGATCAATGTTCAGGTGCCTGGTGAAAGGCTGTGCCCTCCTTTCAAGGTGGCATTGTCACTGTGGTCTCTAGAGAGAAGGGTGCTGAGACCTCATGTCATGGGTGGGTGGAAAGGGAAAATGGCTTGCCATTGCAGGGTGACTCTTTTATAAGGGCTTTTACCTCATTGGTGAAGGAGGAGCCCTCATGACTTAACCCCTTTAAAGGCCCTGTCTCTTAAGATCGCATTAGCCAACACCTGTCACTTTTAAACCATAGCTTACTTTCCCTTAAAGATGGAAGATGGTAAAAAGGCTGGACGGTTTGGTGGGTGAAGGCACCCTCTGATAAGCCCTACAATCTGAGTTCAGTCTCCAGGATCCACATGGTGGAATCAGAGAATCTAGTCTTACAAATCATCTTTTGACCTCCTCCTATGGGCTATGTTCTCCCACGTGTGTGCAAGGGCACACACACACACACACACACACACACACACACACACACACCACACCCACACGCACACGTACACACACACACGCACACATACGCACGCACACACCAAATGAAAAAGAAACCCTTCTGTTTCATTATTAGAATCCCTTCACTTGCCTTATTCCTGCAGCATCTCCAGGGGATCCTGGATTCTGAACTTCTCTGTTCTCTGTTCTGTGATTTTTGTCTCTTGCTTCGTGGCTCCTCCTTGTTCTGCATTCCCTCTGCAATAGAATGCCAATGCTCTACTTAATGCTAAGGGGTGTGGAGCATTGCTATTACCTTAGTATTTATTTTCTTCATATGAACATCAACTTGATAAAAAGAAAATATATGTTAAATTCTCAAAATAGAATTTCTATGTATTAGAATAGTTTTAAAAATTGGATTTATTATTGTTAGTTATCTATTATCATTGTTATTTATTATTATTAATAATAAGTAGATAAAGATTACGTGATTACCATAAAAAGAACATCTACATGAGGAATTTATTTTCTAACTGTGGTATGTTTGACCCCTGTAGCAGGCATATAGGATGGATGTGAGTGGTTTAAGATGGCCAGTGCCCTTTAACTCATCATTCATTGGATTTCATAAAAATCACGGTTAGCTTAGCCATTTCTGGGCTCTTGCTCAGTCTTGATGCCATTTTCAAGTCTTTCTGTCCTTCATCAGAGAAGTCTTTCTTATGGTAACTTAACTGTGTAGTCTCTCTCTCTCTCTCTCTCTCTCTCTCTCTCTCTCTCTCTGTGTGTGTGTGTGAGTGTGTGTGTGTGTGTGTGTGTGTGTGGGCATGTGGGCATGTGGTGGCCAGATGCTAATGTCAGGTGTCTACCCTGGTTGATCCCCACCTTGTTCTTTTGAGTCAGTGTCTCTCACTGAACTTAGAGCTCACTGATTTAATTGGGTAGGTCAGCCAGCAAGTCCCAGGAACTCTCCTGTCTCTGACCCCCAACTACTGGGATTATATATGCCCATTACTATGGCAGCTGTCTACATGGGTGCTAGGATAGTACTGGGGTCCTCATGCCTGTGTGCCAAGCGCTTTTCAGACAAAGCCGTCTCTCCATCCTCTGACGATATAATTTTCCACAATGATATTTTAAGAACTTTTTGGAATCTATAAGGATGGGTGAGTGGTGAGTTCTAAATCAGTGCAGACCCCACCCTCAGGGAGACAGGACCTCTCAGATTATTCCACAAACCCTGGATTTGCTTCTCTTCAACTGATGCAGGGGAGCTTCTCAGAGAGGAAACTTAAGAGGCTCATTAGCAGACGAGCAAGATGCACAGCTGGGCCACAGTCACGTTCATAAACCCAGCAGTCCCTCGAAGCTGCCTCCATACTCATCTGCAAAAGGCGACAGAGCATAAATCAACTTTAGAAAGCCTTTTGTGATGGCCAAATGAAATAATGGGTAGGCAAGAACTTGGCCCAGGCTGGAAATACAGAGCTTAGAGCTGCTGTCCCTCCTGAGAAGAGAGTTTGCTGGCAGGCTAGCCACTCACTCAGATTTTGTGTATGTGTGAGTTTTTCTGGAATGTCCCACAGCCTTTGCTCCCTGGGTGCTGGCTGGCTAGCCAGCCTCATTAGAATGTGCACCTGTCTCCTCAGCGGTCACCATGGAAACCATGGTGCTCAGTTTCTCAAATGTTTAGATCTTCTTAACTCAGACACAGAGGCTTTGTCTCCAAAGAGCTGTTTTGAACTCCTCGGAGGCACTTCTTAGCCGTCTGCACAGCCCTTTGAGTTAGGAAAAAAATAGATGGGGTGGCTGAACACTCAGAAGAAACAGGAGTGTTCTTAGAGCATTCCCACGGAGAAATGACTGATTTGGCATTTCCCCTGTTTTGTAGCTCCCCTTGGTTTTGGTTTCCTTGGTCATAGAAGAAAGGATTGGATTGCATCTTTCAGATCTCCTTAGCAGACTTAGTCATTGTATTCTACAGGAGGGGAGAGATTACAGTCATTTTACTGCATGCCTACCAAACTGGGAGTGCATTCCTGTAATGCAGTTTAGACTACAAGTGGGAGCATGCTATTTCCCTCTTTTGAATTGTTTCCCAAAGGCCCTTCAGTAGACTCTGGAGCCATGCCTGAACATTTGCACATTTCATTTTTATGTTGAGGGCCCTCAGGTCTTTGCACCATCAAAGACAGGGAGTTATTCAGGAAGGTGAGGCAGATATGCCTTACATGGTCAAGGTATCGATAAGGCCAAAGTCAAGGTGCTGGGCCAGATGAGGCTCCAGGTTTGAGGGAGAACCTGCTTCCAAGTGCATTTGCATTTGGGAAAGAAAACAGTAATTACTTCATTACTTTCCCTGGGGTGGGTTGTCTTTCTATTGCCCTTATCTAGAGTAAGGAATGCCAAACCAAAGTCATAATTCCATCTAAGCCTCACTGAGTGACCAGTGAGTTTTGGGGTTGCTTACAGGAGAGTGCATGAAGAGTTAGGTACAGAAGTGTCAATGACCAGGGAGCTGCATTACCAAACCCCTATCCTCTAAGGGTGATGACTCACAAAGCTGCACCATGGAGCTCCCACTCAGCCTTCGGGTGGCTAGACTATGGAAGAGTCTCCTTCTCAGGGGGTGCTCAGTGATTATTAAACCTCAGCAGGGTCCCCACACATAATGGGAATTTCATGAGTCTTGTGATCCTCTTTGCTTCCTCCACAACCAATGTTTCCATCTGGAGGAAAGAGCTACAAACGTGGTTCCTTGTGGCTGTAGGATGGCAAGCCCTGTTTCCTTGCTAGTTTTCAAGGAGGAGCTTGCCTGAGTTAGGGTTTTTATGCTGTGAAGCAATACCATGACTATGACAACTCTTACAAAGAAAACATTTAATTGGGGTGGCTCGCTTACAGTTTCAGAGGTCCAGTCCATTATCATCATGGCAGGGAGCATGGTGGCCTACAGGAAGATGTGACTCTTGCTACATCTTGATATGCAGGCCACAGGACCCCCTCATTCAATTACATCTTCACAAGCTTTCTGTCTTTCACTGTTTAAGCTTGGCTGTTCTGAAACTTGCTCTATGGACCAGGCTGGCCTCAAACTCAGAGATCTTCCCGCCTCTGCCTTCCCAGTGCTGGGATTAAAGGTGTGCACCACACCTAGCTCTCAGCTTTTCTTTAGTTCCTTTTTACAAGTTGGAAATTTAGCTGGGGTGGGGTGGGGATCTTGCCCTGAGGTCACCATTCCCTTTATTTCATTTTTTTTTGGTTTGTTACATTAATCATAGAGCTTATTATGGGGGGAGGGGAGGGGAGAGCGAGAGCGGGAGAGGAAGAGAGGAAGGAGAGAGAGAGCAGAGAGCAGGAGGAGGTAAGAGAGAGTAAAGAGAAGAGAGGAAGGCAAGAGAGACAGTAAGAAAGAGAAGAGAATTAGTGGTCGACCACCAGAAACAGAGTTTGAGAGCGAGAGGGAGCAAGCTTGGGGAGGGGGGGGACAAAGGGAGAGTGATGAGTAAAGAGAGAGCCCTTTATTTCATTTCTTAATCTGTTTATTTCCTCGAACACAGACTTTAGCTCTATTCCACTTCCTGGTGCTCTTTTTTCTCCTCAAAGTTTTCATTTTCTAATTTACCCTGCTCAGCTTGCTCCTTTTCATAATAAATTTTCACTAGAGTTATCACTTAAAAAAAAATAAGCCAGGCAGTGGTGGCACATGCCTTTAATCCCAGCACTTGGGAGGCAGAGGCAGGCAGATCTCTGTGAGTTTGAGGCCAGCCCGGGCTTGAAAAACCAAAAAAAAAAAAAAAAAAAATCACATGACAGACTCTACACTAGGCTATTTTGAGATTTCCTCTGCCAACAGAATTAATCCATAAATTAATCCAAAATTCTTCACTTTAGCCTCAGGTAGATTCTTTGGATAAGGGCAAAAGGCAGCCATGTGCTTCACCAAAATATCACAAGAACAATCTATAGGCAACATACTAAAACCTCTTGAGTGCGGCCCCAAATAACTTTTAGCATCTCTGTCTTCCATGCTCCTACTAGTATGGCCCATTAAACAGTGCTTAAAACACTCCACTGCTTTCATAACTCAAACTACCAAAGTCCAAACTCCTCCAAACAAACACATGATCAGGTCCAACACAGCAATACCCCAATCTCTGGTACCAACTTGTCTTAGGGTTTTTATTGCTGTGA